AGACAACAAGGGTCATCGTCAAAATCATCAAAGTCAACATTTTTAAGTAGTCAGAGTCATCATTGGCGAAAAAACACTACTTATTTCAAAACTACATTAGAAGCTAACGGGATTCTAATTTCTTCTTCATGGTTTAATATTTACATATTTAAATCAAAAAAGTATTAAAGAAATTGAAATTGGGCGACAGACAATCCCACAGATAAGAAACCGTAATATTAAAAAACAAAACTTTTTTCACACATCTAAAGCAAACACATTCTCATCGAAACCAGATTGAAAAAAAACAAACAACAATTGGAAAAGAGAAAACGAACCGCTGCTAATTTGATGAGCAGTGTCAGGGATTTCGATATCAACAACATCATCTCCATCTCCGACATTGATTTTGCGATTCTTAGCTTCGGTGGCGGTCATGGTTGCTAAGAGACTTTCTCTTTCTTCTTCTTCTTCGACCACATGAAGAAATTTTGAGAAAGCCAGCTTTTATAATTTTTTTACAAAAAAATTCTCTTTTTTTAGCGAATTTTTCTCCTTCACTAATAACGAAAAAAGCTTCGCTTTTGATTGAAAGAAAAAGGAGCCCAAGAATCCAGCTCGATTCGCAACTGATATAAAACAAAAATCTCTAATCAGTCAAAAAAGAAAAGAGAGACAGATTACAAATCGAATCGAAGAACAAAAGATTGATCCTTTTTTTATTTATTAGTGTTTCTTTCTTACTTGCGACAGAAATTATATAAAAAAATTGGTATTGGTGGGTCTCAGCCGTTGAGGTTTCTTGTCTGAATTTGTTATTTTGCATGAGAGATCCTATAACAATGGCGATATCTTTATTTTTAAATTGGAAATATATATTTATAATTAAAAAAACATTTATCTGTCTTTCCATTTTTTTAGTTTTTTTTTTTAATTTTATTTTCATCTGTTAGCTGATATTTTTGTCTAGTTGGGTTATTTTGAGTTTTGAGTATTTATTTTCTTTGCCAAGTTTTGGTTTTTTTATATTTATTTTATTTTATACTAATGTAATGAATTCATCTTTTCGAGAAGATACTTTTCTGCTGACGAATAATAAATGAAAATGTTCGCGTAGTAGGGAAATATGGATTTTAAACAAGTGAGAACAACACAAAGCTATTCTAAAAAACTAAAAATACGTACATTAGATTTGTGTTGTTGTCCTAGTTACCCAAGTTGAATGTTACTAGCTAAGTTTAGTTATATATAATTCTCAAGCTACTAATTTTGGATACAGATTTGTTTTCTATACTATTACCAAAAATATATAGTTTGAGCTCAAATACCCGATTTATATACGTTTGTACTAGGCTTTTATGGGTTTTCTTAAATTATTTGTGCAAGTTTGATATGGAGAAGGAAACACGTTAAGTAAACTATTGATAGTGATTGTTTTATGTTAAGAAAACAAAATGTTGATAGTGATTTGTTTTATAGTTTAAACAAAAGGTTAGGCTGATATGCGTGGAAAACTTCTATATCAGTTAAAAAAAGTTTATAAGTTAACATCTTAGAGAATCTGCATCTTTAGTCGCTAGTCAAATGATAGTCTCTTTGAGTCTTTGACTCTCGATCATTTTGAAATCTCAATACATTCCCTTTTACTTTGAGTCTTTGACTCTCGATCATTTTGAAATCTCAATACATTCCCTTTTACAAAAATAAGTTTAAAATTGATACTATATGAAAAAAAAAATACAGTTGGGTTTTCATCGAATTTATAGGTATATAGTTAGTTATATATACACATATTCTAGAGAGCAAGTTGATTGGAGGCGGAGCCATGCAAGTTACAGTCTATTGGCTGAGGTTAATGGCAGAAGCCAGAAGGGCACAACTTCCTAAAAATCTTAAACCATTTGGAGGTACCAACTCAGATTTTATGCATTCTCCAACTGTTCAAATTGATTAACGGACTCACTCATGTTTTGAATCAATCTGTACATGATTGCATAAGTTAGATAGTTTTAGTAATCAATAAATCCGAGCGACTTGGTTTACTGAAATCACATGCCACTCACTGACCATGACACAAAACAAATTTCTTTGCTGCAGCGAATATAATACATTTTGATTACCCAATAAAAAAATTAAAATAATTATTTAGATGGTGGATATTGGCAACTTTTTATTAGTGAAGTTTCCTTTTCTTTAACAGGAGTTTTTGTTCCAAGTGGGGTTTTAGATGAATATTGTTTTTGACGAAAAAAAGAACATATTCATGACAATTTTAATGAAAATAAGTTCAAAAGAAAATAAGTTTTCAAGGTTACAAAAGCCTGCAGTATTCCTAAATTTTTAATGAAAATACTGTGATTCGGCTAATATTATTGACATTGTATGATCTTATGTATACACTTGTGCAGTTGAGTTACCGCTTTAGATGTTGGTAGTTTTAAGTTGACATGCATAAAACAAACGTTCCTCTATATATATATATATATATGTATACATGAATGTATATGATAGTTGAGAAATTAATTAGGAATAAGTATATCTCGTTTATATCCTAGATGCTTTGAAATGCCTTACTAATGGACCATAAAGGAGTCTTAGTCTTGTGGACGCAATTACTTTCAAGGTCACTTCATAACAAAGTCTAGATTTTTTTTTATTCCTATAAGCAAACTTTGAATTACTTTTAACACCAAAAAGAAAGAGAAAGGAGAAAACATCTTTTGGACCATCTTTATTTTGGTAGAATATAATTTGGTAAAAAGTTTGACTAACAAAAGTTTTCTGAGTACAATTATTGATTGATAAGATATGAAGGTGCCAATCATTTTCATCTCATAACATTGTAATATCATAATGTAATTAAAAATTGCACACAAGAAAGTTTTGTATTAAGACGTGCATGGGGATGAACGAGTAATAGATCACTTTGGGATCTGAAAATATTAGGGTACGTTCAAAAAATTTGGGTGGTGCAAGAAAGTACGACTAAGTCCTTGAAACTCTACTTAAAACATTCCTTTACCGCTTCTCAACCACTGCCAAATAGAGTTTGAACCTCCCTTGCAACCATGTGTTCAAGCTCAAGACATATAACTGATGTAGAGGCCACTAGAGCACTTTTAAGTGCAGTTGGTAGTAAATGAGGAGCACTTCGAGCTCATCTTAAATTTGGCGATGTACATTGCTTGACTGCTTTAGCATGAACATAATAAAGTTTCACCAAGGGGTCTTCAAGAGAATCATTTCTCCCGTCAAAACTCAAGATAGGTTTAATGATCCCAAACTTGAACAAAAAATTCATCCTTAATTATTGCATTTGCTTGTATTAGCAGATTCAGATCGAAGATAAACATGAACTAATTGAAAAAAAACATTTTCAACTACTTCCTTAACGAATCTTGTCAAGACAAATACATGTATGTAGATTTCGGTTAGTTCATATTTAGGGGCCACCCATCTCCATAGTTTTTAGGGACCCATATTCCTATTCCATAGTTCATACTGGAATTTTAAGCTAAACCCATGGAAACTGAAATATACAATTCATAATGGATCTTCACATACATACAAATCCAGCAACATCATAACAGTTTAGATTTGCAAAATCGTAGGCTCTCTCAATATACTAAAATTGAGAGCATTTTGTGTCAGTGAAGTTGCAATGACCGCTAGATGTAATCACCATGAGAAAACTTTGGTTTTACACGAACTAAGTAAGAGCATGTGCTATATAATTTTATAAAAAGTTTTATTTATAGTAAAACATATATATTTGATTGGCTTATAAAATTATTTACTATATTCAAAGAATATATAATGGTTGTTTTCGATTTTATAGTATGTTTTTAAACATAATACAAAAATCAAAGTATTTTCCAGATCATCGGATCTCTGAATCGAATTAGTACTACAGTAAAACCTCTATAAATTAATAATGTTGGGACCATGATATTTTATTAATTTATAGTGATATTAATTTATCTATAAATTAATAATTATTAATTTATAGCGTAAATTAATATTTATTAATTTATAGAAAATTTTGTTTCAATTGTAAAAACTTTTTTTAAAAAAATACGAGCTAAAGCAATGTGATCTAACTAAGATTAATGTTTTGGATGTTATAAATTTTATAGTTTTAGTCTTAAACACTTAATATTTCGAAAAAAATAATTTATTTTGACAATGAATAACAACGATTATAGAATTCACATATACAAACGATATACATAAATTACAATTCACAAAGACATCCACTGTTGTATTTTAAAAACATATACGACTATTAAAAAAAATTATGCATATTCAAATTTTGAAAACTTACAAAAAATTTTGGCTATTTTTATGAAAAACACTAAAACTATTATATATATATATATATGAAAATTACATGATTATTAATTTATGATATTATTGGGACTATATTTTTACATAGAGATTTCAAAAAAATTATTATCTTATTATCTTATCGAATTTGGTTAATTTTTACATTGGCTCGACTCGGGACCGGCCAAATTTATTAATTTATCGTGTTTATTAATTTATCGAGTATTAATTTATAGAGGTTCTACTGTATATAGAAGGTCAATGTTTTAATGACTTGTTAGTTAAAAACCGTGGACTTGACTCGTAAGCATGCAATAATAATTTTTTCTTTAATAGGAGTAGAAGATTAGAATTCGAGGAAAAGTTAAATTGTTGTTTGGCTCATAATTAATGATTCTCCGGATCGGTTTTAGTTATTTTTTATGAAGTGGTCGTATACTGTTTTTAAAAACATGAACAAACCAAAACTACCTACCACCTTGTACTGTGTTTTCAAATATAATATCACAGTCAAGAAATTACAAAACTTTTGATTTATTCTAAGCTTGATAAACGCCTTTTTTAATAAGTTCTAAGAATGATCGTACCATAGGAAAATGTTCTAACCCTTTCTTATAAGAAAAGTAATATTTTCAAAAAAGTAAAATTTTGGTAGTATCTTGAAATGGTAGAAAATTACCTACGGAAAACAAAGATTCAATGAAGAAAATGTAAGTCTCGTAAAATTGACCAGGAATGTAGTGTAGAAGGAGACAATGGAATTTCAAATGTTGCATAAAATAAATTACATCGCCCTTCTTCCATATTTGTCCGTCCACCAAAATCTTTTGCACCTAAACAACATCAAATTCAAAGTCATAACTCTGTTTCTTTTCTTCAAAATCAAATTTGTTCATTTAGGTGTTTTTGTGCTATTTTCTTCTTTTACCCAAACTGATTGATTAGCTTTTTCAATTAATGTTACTTCATAATTGGGAGAAAAATGATTGTACGAACGAATAGTACGTAGAGATATGCATTTCGTATCCAACTATCCATGCTTGCAAATAAATTTAGTCAACCATGGAACTAATGATGTTGTCCTCAAATTAATCGTGAGTTGCTATTTTCAATAGTTGAACATTACTAATTTGGAGTTTAATTAGATCGTTACAAAATATCGATTTTTTTTATTAATTAGAAAGAAAAAAAAAATATAGGTGCTATAGAGACCTCCAAACACCGATTAGAACAATAAAGTAATTAACCATTGTATATAACAAAGTAATTAACCATTGTATATAACAAACTGAGTATTTGATTAGGGTAAGAGGTTAAATTGTTCTAAGTCCTACATTAACCAATATATATATATGTCCTTGTTTGGTCAAAGCTCTTTCTATTTTACGAGACCCAACGACTTTGGGATTTGGGATATCAAACTACCATGTAAGCTGCTTACCGTAAGCATGACGTACAAAGTATAGTCTCGAATGAATGTAATTAAACTTATACTACAATATATCTGGGGAAATAATTGATATGACAGATATATATTGAAAGGAAAGTTTTTGGAAATAGCCATGGATGTATTCTCGGAGAAATAACCTTTTAAAACTAACTTTAAGCTAATTTTAACTGGAAATTCGATCCCAAAATCCAATGAAGAAGAAAGAAAAAAAAAAACAGGTAGGTGACTTCTTATTTTTTTTGGTTTTGCATGCTTAGGTCAAAATACTTTGAAACTTACCTTTAAAAAAATTGAACTGTAAGAAGAGAGTTCGTTATATACTGTTGTAGGCTTGAGATCAAAGGTTGGGGAATCTTAAAGCTAGCAAGGTTCCCGGTGAAGCATCAGGCTGGTTGATTTAAAACCATACGATCGAAGAGGAAGCTACCGAAGGATGAATCCAAAGAGATAGCATGATCCAAAACCAAGCAAATTTTTTTGATTTGTTTGCTAATTATTAAGAAAAGATTGGGGTAATTCACCTTTATTAGGATCAATGCGATCCCTTTGGATCCTTCCTCTAGTTGCTATGAAGAATTTGTTCTCTCTAGATCTATCTCTCTCTCTCACTAAAAGTTGAGAGCAATGTGGTTTTTGTCAATGGATCGTGTTCCTCTTGATTTTAAATAACACTCATTTATCTTTTAGTTTCCACTTTCTGACCCTTCAAATTTATTATTTATATTTATATTATTTTCCAACTTCTTATTTTCCATTTTTATATTGATTTATTGAGTAAACCAGACGTCTACGTTTCTGTACAAAATTTTATGGGCCCTAAATAAGTATACGGTTTAGCTGTTGTAATTTTACTTTATTTTGTTAGTGGAATGAGTTTGCTACACTCTAGTAAAATTATATGGTGAATTTGCGGTTGACACATGCATCGATGAGCACAAAACTGTAATTTTTTTAATGGACTCATCTTTAAAATTGCAACCCAGTGTTCATAATGGGTAATAGGTCAAAATGACTAAATGTTTTCTCTCTTGTTATAAAGCAAGAGATTTACTTGAGAAATCAACTACCCAAACAAAACACGCTATGTATATGTATATCATAGCAATTTAGATATTCCCCACAATTTGGGTGACACTGTTATTTATTTTCGTCTTTATTAAATTTTGTTGGCTTATTTTAATAATACAAGGAGAAGTGTGGTCCACCAATGTTCCCCTTCTCTTTTGGCATCAAACCCTTCGTATAGACGCTTCAAATATTATTTCAGTTCAATGCCACAATGTTCACAAAGAACGTCAAGTGATAATTTGTTTCTGTTGCTGTTGTATGATAGTTTGAAACCTAAATTGTGTATAATACTTGCAATCATTTGATACACAAAGAATGTCAAATGAATGATGATTTTTTGTAGCTTTTATATGATACTTTTGAAACCTAATTTTTCTCTCAACATATATTTAGGTCAGACATATATATGATTGACCCCTAAATTTTCTTAATATATACATGGATCCATTTGATCAAAAAAAAAAAAAAATACATGGATCCAATATATATCTGTCGTCTAGACATGCATATCAGTATAATATAGTCATCATTTACATATAATACATAGGGAATTGTAATAATACGCACAAATTTGCATTGTACATGTCAAATAATGCACTGGCTTATAGGCATCACATGATTGTCATTTTCTCCCTTCAAATTTTTCACATGCAAGCAAAACAATTTACAATCTTAGCTTTCTTGAATAATTTTGAAACATCAGTAACCGAAAAGTCAAGATTATGCATCATCATTAATACCTTAAATTAGGAATTTGTAAGATATTTCTAGAAAATTTTACAATTAAATATATTCATATCATATTTTAATTTTCGATGTCTTTCACTCCATAATGTGATATGCCAATTAATGTTTGCATCCTTCGTTTTTGCGTTTATATGTATGTGCGTGTGAGGAAATGTAGTGGACTACAATCACTTAGTCGTTATGAATCATCAATGTTTAGGAAACGAAAGTAGAAGACTATGGAAGATTAAGTCTTCATGCTCCATGAAATAAAATAAAGTATAAATCTTTTAATTCAGAGATTTCTTTAAAGTTTAGTCAGAAGTGCTCGTTCGTGAAGAATGTGTGCGTTTTCACTTGCTCAAACCTTTACACATGCATATATGTATATGTATATGTTGAGTAGGTGATCAATAGGTGCTTGTAGACGCAGACATGCATATTGCATGCAAATGGTGGGGTAAAATGGGCATGCGTGGTTTGTCGATATATGTTTGAAAGTGAAAGAGGCGTTGATTAGAATCAAAAACAAAAGTGAGTCATTTGGAAATAAGTGAGTGTAGAGAACATATATGAAAATGTCGGCTCTGCATAGGAAAAAAAAACTCCAGTTCCACTGTAGTACTCTTGTCGCTCACTACTTATATATCTTTCATGCTCTAGAGTCTAGAAGGGTTATAACATCATTACTCATTAGATATGCAACATCATAACTATATTATATACGATCAGTACACTTAACAAGTCGTTTAACCCGGTGTCGGTAACTTTAGGGAGGGAGCATGACCAAGTCATGGGTCGAGTCTTACCGACAGCGAAAAGGGGGTTAATTTATTTGTTCTGATCGTTGCCCCAAGCAAAAAATGGTTGTTTTTGATCTGAATTAATTATTGAATATGCTGGTTTTTTCTGTGCTAAATTACGAAGTTCTAAATCTTTGATCTAATATTTGGTACATGTATAAGGATTTAATGGTGGAAATCATATCGTTTTTTTTCAACCATATGATTGTATTTGAATCTTGATCTTCTAGTACATGCCTTTACCTGTGCTTCCAAAAACTATTTGACCCACTCTCTTCCTTTGATCAGTTCTCTGTTCCAAAATGTTTGAAAAAGCTGTCAAGTGAACATGTCCTAGAAGATCAAGATTCAAATACAAGAGTTGATGCCTTTTTTAATTTATGTAAATGAAGAAGAATCACAGAACACACAATTACTATATTAATTCTAATTCAAAGAAGTTTCAATTCTAATTGGAAATTTCAAAGAAATAACAACATCGATTCCAGCCTTGAAGGTATGGTTTGGTTATCACATAGTCGTATCGGAATGATTTTGTTGACATGTTTTATGACCGTCAATCCGTCATTAATAATTTGTTTACGACGTATGTGTTATGTATGACAGATGACTACTTTTAAAATTGCTTAAAAATCTTAATCATTAATAATTCCACCAAACTTCATTAAATTCTCAGTATTAATCAATTTCGAAGTTGATAAATTAAATTTGGAAGATGAAAAGGTCAACTCTGAGTCATATAACGAACGGTTTTGAAAAAAAAGGTGAGTCAGCAAATAGGGTAAACTGGTAATTTCGCGGCACCAGAACAGCCCCCACTCTCAACTTTGCAGTTAGGCTTAGCAGGTACAAGAAAGAGGACCCCGGTTGGTTACATTTTTTTTGAATTTCAATTGTTTTTTTTTAATTCTCCAAGAAGAAAATTAGTTTAGCTTCCGATGAACTCAGAAATCTCTCAGCCGCCGGAGCTAATGCCGTCGCTGAATCCGTTTAGTGGTGTTGATATCTCGGAAGATACAATAAACGCTGCAGTCGAGGCAGAGCTCGCCGAGTTAGCGAAAAGTGACTCGAACGGCGGAGGAAAGAGTAAAGTGAAAGGATCTTGGTCTCCGGAGCAAGATGAGGCTCTCACGAGGCTTGTGAAAAAGTGTGGGCCGAGAAATTGGACTCTGATGTCTCGTGGAATCCCAGGTCGTTCTGGTAAATCTTGCCGATTGCGTTGGTGTAATCAGCTCGATCCTAACCTCAAACGAAAACCTTTCTCTGGTAAAACACAAATCTCGATCTTCTTTGTGATTCTCGTTGATTCCAGATTCATGCTTTGGTGTTTTTGATTTCTCTTTATCTACGTCTAGTGTTAGCTTGAGTGATGTTGCTATTCTTGATTCAGGATCTTTGTTGTCGTACTTGATTCTACTTATTTGAAGAAATGGTGAGAGATTTGTAGATTGGTCTGTGTTTGCTGCTGATTTATTGGATATGAACATTTCTTCAGAATCAGATTCTTATGTATATGGAGATGGTTTAATAGGCTTTAGCATTCTCTTGGATTCAAGTTGTTTATGTTATCATTCTCTAGAGATGTGTTTTTGATGGTTACTGTCTGAGTTATGTGTTTCACATTTTGTTTAATGTTGTATCATGAAATTGATTTGAAATGCAGATGAGGAGGATCATATGATAATGTCTGCACACGCGGTTCTTGGGAACAAATGGGCTGTGATTGCTAAACTCTTACCAGGGAGAACAGATAATGCCATTAAGAATCATTGGAACTCAAGTCTTCGACGTAAACCAGCAGATCTGTGGAAGGTTCCTCTATTGATGTCTTATACAGAAGAAATATATCAAATGCATCCATCAAAGGTCAGAAAGATATCAAATGCATCCACTAAAGAGGAGCATCTACCTCGAGAAGAAACCGATTTGGTTACGCCTCCCGTATTAAATGATGAAGCAAACGAGCCTCCTCGGGAACAAAAGAGTAAACCTGATATTTATCGCCCAGTGGCTCGAATTGGTGCTTTCAGTGTCTGTAAACCAGGATACATGAACGACCATATGGCTCCATGTGAGGGATCTTTGGTTCAAGCATCAAGATCTGACTCATTGGCTGGTAAATTTCTTCAGTCTCTTTGTTATGATCCTATCATCCCTTCAAAATGCGGTCACGGTTGCTGCAACCATCAAGACAACAAAACGATGTCATCATCGTGTAACTCGGTGCTGGGACCAGAGTTTGTGGATTATGAGGAACGTTCTTCTGCAGAGTTAGACCAAGAATTGATCTCTATATCAACCGACCTGAACAATATTGCTTGGACTAGGAGTGGGATTAACAACAACTATTTTAAGGAAGCTGAACCGAGTTTGAAGGCTGATGATCAGTTTGGTCGTGAATATGCTCAGGCGAAATTTACTGGAATGGTAAACAATGGTGTATCAAGTCAGATGCTGAGACAAGATTTAAGGGCTTTGAGCTAATTTTAGAGACAAAACATTCATCCAATATCTCCTTGTTAATTCTATTTTTACCAGATCATTGAAGATTGAAACTTTACAAGTATTAAGCTAGCGTTTCCTGGTAAATCATTGAAGACAAAAAAAAAAAAAATTAAATGCATTTAACTACTGATTCCTCTGTCTTCTTATAATTATATTGATGATAAAGTGAATGATTTCTATGTTTTTGGACATTTGACTCAAATTTTGCTACAATTGGGCATCTAGGACACTCTGCCAGAACATGGGGCAGGTTTGGGCTTTTATGAAGGCCCACAAAAAGAAGGCCTCAGGGGTAACATAATTTAAATATTTAGACTTAAGTTTGTGTATTAATAAAAGCTGTATAATTTTACATATCTTTATGTATTAATCGTTCTTGCAACTCTTTGCCGAAAAGAGAATTACAGGGAATCAAACGGATGTTTAGCCGCTGCAATTTCTCTTTATGTTCCCAATTAATGACAATGTTTCACCAAAGTTTAATATTATAATTTCATATAAAAAAGTTATAATTTCCAATTAGGTAGATTTTTTTTTTTTTTGCTATTTAGGTAGATGCATTCAGAATATAGAAAACTAGAAAAAAAAATATATACGTTATCCAATAGCTTAGAAAATAATCCAAATTCGCTGATAAATCAGATAACGAAGATTGAATATGGCTTTTGCTTTACTCACACTGCTACCATATTTATTTATGGACGCCTTGTCGTCCTTTGAGAGACATAATAGTTGAAATAATAATTATATTTTAGAAAATTATCAACAAGACAACAATGATGACCTACCAAAACATAATAATAAGCTTCCACCGTCATAGACTCTTAGGAGTGGCTATTTTCACTACGATACTATGGTTCTATTTTCAAGTTTATTTTGGTTCGAACCATTAATTGTTTACCCGAAACGAAATTAATCCGAATCAAATACCTTAATATTGGTTTGGTTTGTTTAGTTTCAGAGTTATAGACATGTGTGGTTTTTATTAAATTTTTCAACTTGTTAAAACTCAATATACAAATATGCGTCTAAATTAAGTTTGATATAACTCACTCAACAACATTAATCTATTTTCTTAAAAGAAATCATCTTAATTCAGTGTTTAGCACAGCTTAGCTCAATCTAATCAGTTTCTAAAGTAATTTTGAATGATTTTGATTAGCACAATTTGGTTAGTTTCAAATGTGCACTCCTAATCATACATCCCCAATTTTGGTGAATATCTATATATTACATGCGTGCTTACAATTGGTTTGAGAATGATTTTGCCTGAAAAGTTAACTATGATATATTTTGTGATCAAGAAAATAAAATATTAATTGACAAAAAACAAAATTAGTATCCAATCGAATTTACAATAAGGTTAGTGCAAGCATGTAAACATCATTCTTTGGAGAGTAACAATATCTGATTCATGTATTTAACAATATAAAAATCAAACATACTTGTATTGTATTACATTAAATTCGAAGTTTGACCGAGTCAAATCAGAAAGCTGCATGGATTCACATCTCCCAAACCAAAACACATGTTTTATACCCTTTTGTCTTTAGATTTTTGTGGCTTCACTTCTTTTGTTTTTTCTTCCCAACTCCATCTTTAAGAGGTTTGAAATTGGAAGTCATAATATGGGATGTAGCAAGTAACGCATTATGGTTCAATGTTGAATAAGAAGTGTGATTGTTGTTGGCTCTATCCGGATTGTGTGCAACAATCAACGCTATCAAATTATATCATTATTATAAAAGCTACTACAAGTATTTAACTTTTGGCCGGTGCCATCCTTGAATGCTATGAAGTGAACTCTCTAAAATTTGGCATCATTTATATATGCGACATGTGTACATACGAATGCGAGAATTTGTGAAAGACATTGGTTGTTGTTTTAAACGTTTTAAAGTGATTTTATTCAGTAGAAAATATTATTGATAGCTGTTTTCAAACGCATGCAACTGTAATAGTCCACGAAGCAAAAATTTGCAAACTATTAAGAAAAACTAATCATTCCCTTAGATTACTTTCCACATAGTACTACTAAATACTAACCTCTGACCTTACTGTTTTTTTTTTTTTTTCGTCTGGGAATTATATATTAGAATGATAAAGAGTTTTTCAATACCACATAATACAAACTTGATAAAAAGCTAATGCCGGAAGAAAAAGAAGAAATCTCCGGAAGCTAAAACCCAAAAAAAGGAAACCTAAGCTGGCAGGTAGTGAACCTCCAGATACAAGGATTAAACAACATGATAAAGAAAAGATAAAAACCACCTCTGACCTTACTGTTTATATCCTGAGATTTCAAAGGGAATTTAAAAAAAAAAAAATGGGACCTACACAACCTCAATAGGCAACCACCAAGTGACCAAAACACTGAAAATTTTCGAAATTTGAAAGTCAAAAATTACTAAAACTATGTACTTACTTCAAGTTAACACCAATCGAATCAAGTTCTGATTTAAGGCAATAAGAAGCAAGTATACACATACACATTCAAATAACTCTTGACTGGAAGGAGTCAATAACATTTTTACTATTAAAAAGAATGAAATTTGTACTATAAGAGTGGTAGGACCAACTATATATAAAGTTTAAAACATATCAGTAAAAAAGCAGAACTCATGTAGTAAATTAGAGGACATACACAATCTACATATCCCACCAAATACAGTACACGATAATAATAGATCGATGAAGGAAAAAAAAAAGGTGTTCCGTATTTCAAAGTCTGTGCATTGCCCACTGCTTCACGCCTACGCAACCCTTTGGCTTCTTTTTTTCTTTCTAGATCTTCTTTTCCTCTTTCTTTTTTTGCTTTTTCCATGTTTCCAAGTCATTATGCATCTTTGTTTTTCAAAAAATATTACGTATCTACGCATTTGATTTGATCCCAATAATCGAAGTACAACACTGTTAGTTCATTGAAACTGTAACCACTGTTCTTTTTTTCAAATTTTCAACGAGTACACGTCACAAGCCGTAACTTTGCTCAATCACAACTCATAGGTACGAATATCGAAGAAGTACTTTAGTTAACAATGAGAACTAAGGATAATTGTTATTATTAATAAACAAACAAAATAATTCCGATGTTTTTATTACAACCCCATTAGATATTATCAAAAATGGCAGAAAACACTATTTAAGTAACACAAATAACAAATCCCACCCAACACATTTTCAATTTCCCTGTCGACTTAAAATGGAAAAAAATACCCAACCCCACTCCACTCCCTTAAACCCTCCAAGGTCAACAAAAAAATTACAGAGAGCTTTGTCTTAGTGACTAAAAAAATACATACTATAATGTCACACTTAAAATTAATACATATTCCCCTACTTTTATTCTGATTAATATCATATCCTTATTACTAATCATAACATTATAACCTAAACCCAAAACCACTTCTAACACTAAAACGCGCTCCTCCTGATTTTCAAACTTCTTGAGACAAAACCAACAGTTGAAACCTCCATCATCAATACATCCAATCCTGTGGAAGACGTCTTTCTTGATTCAGACAACCACCACCACCACTAACTGATCTGAAATTTCCCTGACGAGCTAGTAGTGAACTTCTTGCGAGCATGCACTCTGTTCAAATCATTAAAAACGAATTAGTTAACCATTTAACTTAATGTTCTGCTTTTTTAACAATGGTGGGTTTAGTAATAAAGATAATTACCGTAATCGAACTGACTACGCCTTGGACCAACAACATTGGTGAACTCATCAAAGTTGAGATTTTGTTGATTCACTTTAGATTGCAACATAGCTGGAGTGTTGACTGTTACAGCGATGCAAAAAAGAAAAGTTAGAATCCTTCTGACACATGAAGACTCAACTAACATACACAAACTTGAAGTAACCGTACCTGATTTTTTCAGAGAATCGGAAGGAGGGGTTGTTGGGTATCGCCGGGGAAGGAAAACTCCGGTACCGGCAGAAGGACGTTTTAGGGGAGCTACGGCTTGTTGCGTCGACAACCATGTAGGATTGTTGTGTCTCACGTATCTCGGATTCTCAAACACAACTTCGTCGTTCATAACTCTCCTCGGGTGATGATTCTCCGAAAGCTTTATTCTTGACTGAGAAGAACAGAGCCACATCTGTTCGATGAGACGCTGCTGCTGGAGTTCAGCATGAAACGCCGCGTTTTGACGGCGTAGAAGAGACTCAGGGGTCTGAAGTGGAAGATGATGAGGCTCGTGGCTTCCGAGTTTGAGTCTAGCTACTTCTCCAGCAGCTGCAGATATCACATCCCAAGCATTGTCTCTACGGAAAGAAGTCATAGGAGCCGGTGGGGATGGTAAGATAGGGCTTCTACTTCCTGAGTTTGAAAAGCTTCCGAGTCCACTCAGTGTTGACTGTGGTGAAGTAGCTGCGACTTGACGTTTCTCCTACAGATCATTAAACAGTCGGTTAAGAGAGTGTGAAGAGTTTCGAGAGAGGGAAAGACTAGAGCTTTTGTGGCGTTTCTTACCTTAGTCTTGTAGAGAGGAGGAGGAGGAGGGAGACGCTGAGTCGAGGGAGCGAGTCGGCGAGTTAACCCAGCGAGGAAGTCTTCCTCGTCGTCACTGCTTTCGTCTTCCGTCTCGGTGGAGTCACCGGGAGAAGTGAAACCAGGGGAGAAGGAAGGAGAGTCGAACTCGTAAGGAAACTCGTTAGGGAAACCGAGTCGAGTTGGGGTTAACTCGGAAGAAGGAGTTTTCTCCATGATAGGAAGGTTGACGGAGAGATAAGGAGGAGGAGGAAGGAGGCGAGACATAGAAGAAGATGAAGCAGAGGAGAGGGAGAGAGAGTGGTTTTGAAGTGTGAACTAAGGATTAAGTGAGGAGGAAGATGGAGAATGTTGCTTTTATTAAGGTTTCATGGTTTCTACTTTCTATGAGACAGCTCAAAAGCACTTTAATATCACTTCTGCTTTTTTTTTTTCTTAATATAATTATCCGTAATTAATGCGTGATGGACGAAAATCAAAACTATTTTCCTTTGGTCTTTTCTTAACTATTTTGCATTGGAAACCAAAAGAAAAAAAAAACAGTGTACTAGTATTAACATTTTCTAAAAACTATCTCAGGTTGACAAAACAAGTTTGGTGTGTTATCATTTGGATTCAACTCTTAACATGCTTCTTAAGATATGGATGTAACTCACTAAAGAAAAGGTTAAATATCACTACTAAATGTATTTTTTTTTGTTTCGCTTAATATCCTCAGAATGTTTTTATTTTGAATGGGTACATAAAACTCATATTGCAAATATGTATCTCATTCTTTTCTTTGGCACCCTTTTCTCTTTTTTATAAGATAAGATAGATATAAGATATTAATGTGGAAATGTGTAAGGGCATGAGAGATACAGGTGGAACCCACTAAATCCCAGACAAGTTGTCATTTAGAGCAATATTATTGGGAGAAATTTAGTTTTGGTTCTTAGCCCAATTTGTGGTGCTTAGCTAAGAGTCTTTCTTTAGCAAAATTTGCACCTTTAATTGAGTTAAGAACCAACTTAAGAACCAAGTTAAACACCTCCCAATAAAAATGGTTTTATAGCTCCAAACCTCCAATGTCTTATAATGTTTTAATTAAAACCCTAGATAAAAATCTCAGTCTTTACTCTTTAGTAGAATCATACTACACTAAAATATTAGTATTAATCTGTGGGCTAATAATCAAAAGCATCGAACACTTGATTATTACGCCTTCCCTCTCTTTTCCTCATGCAAATCCTTCTCATCATTTTTTGCTGCCCTCTCATATTTTTCTCCCTTTCCCACCACAATCAATACATTTACTGCTAAATAATTACACTTCATTTAGTATTCATGAGAGGAATTATAAGTAAGAATCACGTTAATTAATGCCACTAATTACAACTGATTTTATAATAATAATATACGCAAAGGTTAAGAAAGTTAAAAGGTCACCACAAAAAAAAAAAAAAAAAAAAAAAAAAAAAAAAAGTTAAAAGGTCACACTGTGGGTTCAAAGATTAAACCAACGATTCGGCGACTGTTCGGTTTTTTCTGGTAACCCCATACAAGACCCCTATTTTGTAGGGTTTTTAAAAATTTAATTAAAAAAAAAAGAGTTCATAGAAATCTCGTGACCACTCAGGGAATTTGAATAAAGCTGACGTGGCAATTTAGCAGGATTCGGCAGATTTAATCAGTCATCCGTCCCTCTCCCTCCTCTCCGTCTGACGTAACGGATTTCAACAGTTCCGTCTCCTTCTCCGTCAGATTTAACGAATTGTCATTGGTCAGAAGAACCAGCCGTGATAACAGCTGTTAACGACGGAACCGAAACCGGTTTATAAACTGAATTGGATAATAGATAATTTTCCCGCCTTTTGATATTTTAGGGCCAAAGATAAAAATGAAGGTGGGGTCGAGGTTTAACCTGCTGAAAAAGACAGCACCGTTAAGTCAAAAGAGCGGGAACAGATCTTCTTCTCTTCTTCTTTTTTTCCTTTTTGGAGTAATATTTTTATCGAAGAAGCAAAGAAAACATAACCAAAACCATATTCGTTTAAAAACTCAAAAGTTTAATGTTTTAAATAATGTAATGTCTAGTTACGCCAAAAATTGTGCCCCTAGTTGGCTTCTCTTGTCTCCCGGAGTCTACTCTATATTGTCGATAAACCTATACTATTGTATACCAGATATTAAGAGTATATTATTAACTTCGTTAATGCTTTATAATCTGTTAAAAGCCCAATGAGAAAGCTGGTTTTGTAAAATGCTTTATTGTGTGAGGTGGAATCCAATTTTTTCCCGTAATTTACGACGAGATTTATCATACTTGGCCTATAGTAAAAAACAAGCAATTATGGGCAATGAGAGTTTATGGATATTAGACTTAAGAAAATTAAAGAAATATTATGGGCAAAGAGAATTTAGGGAAGTGATAGACACGCGCGATGAAGAGAGAGTGGTGAGGGGAGGCAAGTGAAGGTGGGTTTAGGGTTGTGTCTGCCAGCAAATGCTTTTACAGAAGCTGTCTTTCTCTCTGCCTTCATTCCACAAAACATTTGAAACCAAAAAAAATATTCATTTTCTTCGTCAAATTAATGAATTAATAATGAATGGTTGGTTGGGGCAATTTACCCTATCCGAATTTTAAACTGAGTGATATGTTGTAGGATGCGATAAAAACCCAAAAAGGAAGAAGATATAAGTGGAGTGGACTAACACGAAAAGAAAAAGAAAGAAAAAAACAAGAAAATCTGCAAATGTCATTTCGAATTTCCCGCCGAAAGCTCATAAGTAAGGATGGATAAATAGTGACAGGGAGATATCAACCGTCTATTTCAAATGTGAAGTCTACTTCCTGCTTATTTGTAGGCTAATAAGGGACCCTATATATGTAACATAAGTAAGTCTACTTCCTTATTAGCTATTACGTGTTGTTTTTACATATAAGAAAGTATTCAATTCGTAACAAACCAAAAAAAGCTACAAGAAGAAAATAATGATTTTTGTTGTTATTTTGTTATTGTTGTGTACTTTACAAGAGAAAGTGATATCTATTTGTAGAATATAGTGTATGAAACTAGTAATTCATATGAATTTATCACATTTAGTGATATTTTTGGCGAAGTGATTTTTTTTTCCGTTAGATAGGTTACTTGTCATATAGATTTTGAATATATAGTTAGATTATAAGCCAGCAGATTCAAAATAAATAGTAAGATTATAAACCATCAAAATAATAATTTGAATAAGTTTTGGAGGGAGACAAATTAATTGTATTGTAATAGGTAGTTGCATAGGATGAGAATCTTAACTGACCAAATTTAATCATAAGCTTCGTCCTCTTTTACGTGGATTTAGCTGTTCCAACGTTCATCAGCATTTGGATCTCGTGAACCTCAAGTTACCAACTTCTTTTCACATTGCTTTTTTTAAATATTTCTTTTTAATTGTTTTTTTCCTACGAAAATGAGACATTCGTTCTATGCAGATATGATACATTTGTGTATACTTAGACTGAAAGATATTAAAAGATTAATCACTAATGATATCAATATATACATTTGTTTTTTATCAAAAATATATATATACATTTGTGTCTACTTCTTTTAAAAAGTAAGAAAAGCTACATGAAATATATGATATCAGCAATCGCCTTTGGCATAATCTTAAATTGTGAATTGAATATGAATCTACGATCCAGTTTCCACTAGATCTAATGACGACGACCGACGAACTAAAAGCAACTTTAATCTTTTCAAATAATACAACAAACTAAAAAGAAAGCTAAATGATCACTATAATATAGAGATGAGAGATTATAACAAAACTATTCAAATATATTTTTAAACGACTCGATGTTTATTACCTAACAAGTGCAGTCCCAATTTTTTTTTCCACAGAACGACTGGATACATTTATATGAAAATTATAACCATTTAGTCATGTTAAACAGTATTCATTGAGGAATAAAATAAGAAAAATGATAAACATAGATTCTTTGAGTTTAGAAACTCTCAAAGCAAAGAGGATGGCCCAAAAATATCTCCCGCCACATGCAAAAGGAATGATTCTTTCTCGTTCACTCGGTTTTGAAATGCTATAGCACGTGCGACGCCAACTGTTTATCACATATCATGTGTGTGTGTGGTGTAACACACGAGTGCGGCACATGCGACATAGACATTTTGTGCTTAGCAGCAATACCACTATAGTTGAACCGTCAATGGTCAAAGCCTTGGAAACATGAATCTTCGGAATAGTCTCTTTGTTTTCATTTAGCTCCTCTTCTTGTGTTTTCATGTTTGGCATTTTCACGGTTCAAATCCGTCTCACTAAGTTTGCCACAAAACGACTTAAATGCCACAAATCATTTACTCTCGCTTCCCTTTAGTTTGCTTGAAAGTTTAATCCCCGATAGTCCTTAAACCAGATATAAATCATTCTAATTGGAGGTAAACAACATAGTCGTTGTAGTATAGTGGTAAGTATTCCCGCCTGTCACGCGGGTGACCCGGGTTCGATCCCGGCAACGGCGTTTTTTTTCCTTCTGCCTCTATTTTTAATCCAAGGCCCAAAATATGGAATTGGGCCGTCTCTTAGTTTATCCTTATCAAAACTAGAAACGTTTTGCCGCTATAGTCTCCTTCGCATCAGTCATCACTCATCACTTTGTTTTCTCTTTAATGTCTATCCTCAAACTAAAATTACTGTATGTTCCTTCGTTCCCTTTTAGTTATTATAAATCAAACAGTTCTACTCACTCATCTATTAATGTTGTCAATTGATTACGAATTTAACAAATTCAAGTTTTTTCGTTTTGGTAATGCATGAAGAAAAATGTAAACAAAAACAAAAAAAAAAACACTTTGTTGCTGATACTAACAAACGAAATGTTTGATTAGCTAGTGATTACTATGATATAATATAATTACATACGATATGATATTGGATTACATATGAAAGTTTAAATACAAAGACTATTGGACATAGACGTAGATTTCATTATAAAGAGACTTGTCTAACTTGTTGCCTTTGTCGAAACATAAAGAACCAACACGTCAAGCCCTTTTATATAGACGTTGATTTCATCTTATGTAGTAAGATATACTACTATACACCCTCTTTTTTTGTTACTTTTCTTTCTTAAGTCGTTTTTAAGACATGTGTATATACTTTCACACTTTTTTTTGGTTTAAATTTGTAGGTATATTTCTATATGCCAACTTCCATATTCACTTTATTAAGGTTCCTGCAAAATGATCACAAAAACTGTATCAAAGATTTACTACTAATTGAAAAACTTGTGAGGCAAGGTATTCAGTTTCCATTTTTAGTTATTATTCTGGTACTATAAATAAAATATAACCGTAACTAAGAAAATCTGCAAATTATACGACTATGTAATAGGTTTACAAAAAAAAATCACTTCCAGTTTCATGAATATATGGGGTATATATGCATGCATGTACCTTAGCAGTTTAGCAGTTATTGTGCATCATCGGCTAGGGGTTTTTAATTAGTAGTTAAACGATCCTGCATATGTTGATTATGTATAAGTGATTTCCTCATAGAAAAGATCTATAAATGCTAAAAAAAAATGTAAAATATAAAAGAAATGTTTGTAGTTTTACCTTCCCACCAGTTTCCTCTTGAAGCACTTTCGGAATCGCCTTCCTCTCCATCTTTCTTATACTGGACAACTCAAAATTAGCTAGTTTATTAGAGTTAATCAAAAGTACTTATATGTATATATCCAAATAAATCTAGATAGAAGGACAACACATATCTAGAATATCACTTTGCCTATTTGCGTTTATGCGCTCACACTTCCACTTCCATCTCGAAAACACTATTTTAGTGTATTATGCAAATTATCTGCTTGATAATTACTTGGAAACCTAATCCTAGTTCTAGTTTTCTTGTCGATATGCAACCAAAATATCTAGGGACTCACAGCATCTGGATTGGTGGTTGAAGAGGAATAGTTATCTTGGCCTCCATAGTATATGGATGAGCTCAAGTTGCATGGTGGTTGTGTTTCTTCACTTTGGTAACTCTTTCTCTCCTTATTTTTGCTCCTTTCTCCTCTTTCATCTGTACCCCATTATTCACATTTTCTCACTTTTAATAACTAAGCCGCGAGGTGTAGTAGTATTTCATTGGTACTTTGAAGTATAGTACATAAAAAAACATTTTTAAGGACTAACACGTCCAAAACTCTTAACTAGATTAAGCAGTAAACTCACTTGGAATCCCAAAATTTGTAGTTTGATATTTGGCAGCTTCATTTCGACTTGCCGAGTTCGCTTGCATCACCTTAAGTTGATGAGAACAAATAAAAATTATGTGAAACCGATGTATATCTTTTTAGAATGATGATATGATCATGATAATATTGGTTCATATATACCGTTGAAGGTAGTGGGAAAATGGATTGGAACAATCCTGTTGTTGATGAAGAAGACGAGGAAGAGACTCTTGGACCAAAAATATGATCCAACGACGAAGAGGAAGATGAAGAAGAACCAGATACCGACTTTTTGTTGTCCATCACCGCTCTTTTCAACTTTTTGTTGTCTACTTGTTTTTGTGTGTGTACTAATGTATTTATATGTTAAAGGGTTAGTTCTTTGTAGCTAAGGGATATGTTCAAATGATAAAGTAGAAAATGGAAAGAAATGAGAGAAGTTACTTTGAGAAATATTTTTAGTTGTTTGTGTTGGGAGGTATGAGACTTGCTCACTCTCCTATAAGCTTATTTATAGACACTGTTAACCACTTATCAGCTTTGAGCCTTTGACTATATTTGAAACCATATTAAAAATTACATTATTCTGATTTCCTCTTGGTTATTCCGTGTTATAAAAGATTTCCCATTTTAGGAATCATTTTATGACTGAAAATTAATTGGTTGATTATCCGACTAATCAACCGATTAATCGCCAATCAAGTCAGTAGATAACAGAATTAACGTGCCCCCTTAATACTAGATTATTCCAAATTTTACAAAATTTCTTGTTATGAATCTTCCGCATGACATTATGGGACATAAATAATTCTAACTTAACTTACACCAAAACTCGGTTGAACTCTCATGTACTATCTATCTATTACATATTTCATGTGTGATAATCAAATTCTTTTGATCGACTATGATACTTCCTATGGGTTTTTTTTTTTTTTTTTGTATTTGCATTTGACATTATGAAATGATTTTTTAATAACTTTATAAAACACAATTTTGAGTTTTTTTATCAGAGATCTTTTGGAAATTACAAATACACATAGAAATTGCAACTTTTGGCTACATTTCGTAATCACCGTTTAGTTTTCCAAAATGATGATATTTATATTAATATACAAATAAACGAGCCGTGCGTAAGGTTGTGGAAGCCTATAATGAAACAAAAAAATGAGTTCATGTACAAAACATAAAGCCCAAGTCATAGCATTTCCCTAGGACAAAAAAAACAATAATTAGGCCATACAAAGTATAAACGTTTATGTGAATCTGTTGAATAGAACTCAATCGATAGAACATAATGTCAATACGTGTGATGGGTATTTGTCCTAATGTTCTTTCTATCGGTTATTTGTTTGACTATGCCTTTTAAAACAGCCTCTGCAGAGATAACATCACATGCATGATCCGTTGTATCTGTATCTAACAAACACTTAGAATTATCTTTACGATGCAAATTAAATTCAAAGTAAAAACCAACGGTATAGGCTACTCTCACGCAAGGAATAATTCGACTGCAAAAAAGGAAAGACTGAATGGGATGATATACCTGTCCTTAATGGGACTTGAGGAACTCATGACATGTTCACCATAATCATCATATATCATCCATTTGTAACTTTCTCAAGTAATGGACACCATTGACATCAAGAATGTCAAAAAAGACATAGAGATAGATATTAAAGATGATAGAGAGGCAGCCTTTTGTAAAGAGGATTAGATCCCTTATGAGTCAAGGAGAGCCATAGCTTGAGGGTTAAAGAAGCTCTTAGCTACAAATTCTCTCTGCTCCCCAACCTTGGATCATTATACCGTTTGGATCTTTTATTATGCTTAGTTGACATTGCATATTTTTCACATGGTTAGGATGTTTAGATACATTGCACATAGTAATTTCAGTAGCAAGTAAGATTCGAGCTTGGGTATTCATATGTTGATGCTTTTGCATATGTTATTTTGGCTGGTTTATGGGATAATTTGTAGTAAGTTGATATTCTCTCCAATTTACAAGTTAGAAACCTGTCTTTTATTTCGAAAGTTTTTAATTGATTTATGTTAGATATTTATTTTTGATTTATATTATATTTCTATGTAAAATAATTTTTCTTGCCTAATTTCTCACCATTCATACAATTTGTTTGTATGATACAAAATTGTGAATGAGCTAAATAAAGAAAATATTTAAAACCGAATATTAGACCATGACGATCCCAATTTTTTGTAAAAAAAAACTTCTTCAGGTTCTTGATTCTTTAGTTTTAAGGTTGCATGCATGTATATATATATATATATTTTTTTTTCCGCCATGCATGTATATTAAATCACAGCTTTCTATTCATCCAATTTCTCCGTTAATATAATCTATATAAACAGAAAATAATTTAGTCGAATTAATGTAGTAAAGAAGAAATAAAATATGCCGAATAAATGTGTATATCGGGATATACAGAATTTTAGACAACACAAAATTAACAGATAACTATACCTATAAACAGTATAAAACAAAAAGAGATGAAAAAACTTTAGTGTTCCTTGTGTTTCCCTAAAGCTCAACAAGAAGCACTTGCTCCTTTTTTTCTTATCTAGAAAAGGAATCCTATACGTACCCCCAGTCGTTTATATATTTCGCTTTCAAATATTTGTATATATTGCATTTTCTAAATGAAGTTTAATTTCTTGTTGAGAAATGGTTTATACTAAGGTTGGGAAGCTAAATAACCTAAATAATTCATAGCTCTAAGTAAATCATGTAGATAATTAATTGTTTTTTTTCTCACTTTCTTGGGTCAAAGGGAATGCAATTGAAGAACATCTATCCATGTATACATCATAATTAGAATCAATATTTTAAAATAATCAAACAAAAAGTAGATACCTAACCAAACCGAATACAATGATGTTTAAATGGTTTCAATATAGTCTAATTTTAGTTCAAAGACTAGGAATAATGATTTATTGGTTTTTGTTAGTGTTTTCGTTGTATCACCGAAATTCAAATCTGCAAAAAGGCTTTGATGTTGGATTATAAGATTTTGGTTCTCCGGCCAGCATTTTCATTATATACTTTTCATGAAGTTGTCTTAAAGACTTCTTTGAGCTAGGCTATGGCAAACTTTTTAAAATAAATAAGCTTCATAATTGTTTAGAGTTAGGCTCTGGGCTCCAACAAAGCTGGACCGATTGATTTTTAGTTATTTAATATATTTCAGTTCAAATCATCCTCTCTTTTGTTTTTAGCCAAGTTTTCAAGTGAACCTTACAAGAGTAATTTACCGAACCAAAAGAAAAACCCTTACAATATTAAGTAACTAGTTATTAATATCCTTTGCCAACCTATGGCTATAGGGTTCGACGTTCATGGAGTATACTTCGTCTTCATCTACACCATAAATCCCTTTTTCACCTGCACACATTAATTCATATGTAAACAGAAACATTTAACTTACAAATATTTTTTCTTTCACTTTTACAAATTTGTTACTACGACATGATATTTGGTAAAGTAATATTTTTCACGGGATAATATATATATATATTTTTCCAGTGCAGAAAAAGGTATTTTTTTATTTTCTTGTAATCAGAGATTTGTGGTTTCAAGCAGCAGATTTGTGTTTGTCTTTTAACAAAAAAAAAAAAAAGCAGCAGATTTGTAACTAGCACAACGACTGGTCACCCAATTGACAACCGAAATTGGCCACCAGGGAATTTACATGCGGACTTGCTCTAGCGCCCGAGACCGAAGACCGTTACCTGGCCATGATCCATCCTCGGGTGTGCGTCCGTGCCATAAGGGTTCGGTCTCTACTCTGGACCACCTCGGTGGGGCCAGGACACTCGGTTATAAAAAAAAATTGGATTTAATGTGTTTTTGCATGGAGTACAGTAAATGTATATTTTCGTTTCTTTGTTGAATAAACGTACCAATTAATTTTTTAGCCTCTTCATCGGTAAGTTTTGCTGCAAAGCCGCTCACGACTTCCTTGTAGCAATATATAAGAGCATCTTTTGGTGACCTGATGAAAAAAAATAGACAACATCAAAAACTTATGAATTCTTTTAGCAAAAAAAAAAAAAAACTTGTGAATTTTTCTCTATAAAATAAAATTTGTTTTAACTATTTTCGATTCCTTTTCTTATACCGACTCAATCTTCATTGTGATACCATTTTGGATTGCAGCCTTATTTCCCCCATGATATTTTATCATTTGTTTTGGTTTATGTTTTTGCTAATACATCTACAAACCATTAAGTTTTTGCTTATTGCTCTACTCCGTAGAAACCACGAATTACCTTCCGTGAACCACCTTTTTGAGAAGTTGTTGGTATTGCTTACAGTCACCATGATACAATTCAAAATCAACATGGACGAGATAAACCTGTGTATCACATTTGGTAAAATATTTATGCTTTAAGAAAAAAAAAATTATGCTTTGCCTTTGAGGAAATACCTTCATTAGCGGATTGTCCGGAGATGGCCCCAACGCTCTACTCGAACATACGACGGAAACTGAAAATGCTAAGAAAATCAACAATATTTGGGAAATCATTTCAATAAAATTGCTAAGAATTATATTGAGAGATTAAAGATTTGAGATTTGGATAGAATAATCTATATTGTGATTTCTGAATACAATCATAAATAGTGGTGAACAATGAAAACGTTAGGCCAAAAATGCGAAGCTATAAGTTCTATAACCTCTTTGGAGCGTTTTATAACAGCATTTATTGAGTATTTATTGGACTCCCTTTTAACATCCTATTTTATTACTCCTTCAGTTTTGTTTTAGTTGTCGTTTAAGGTTTTCTCACACAAATTAAGAAAAACATTAAATTTTCTGTTTTACCCTTTATTAATATATTTTATAGAAAAAATCATTGGCCGAAACATTAAAACAGTAGGGATAAAACTGGAATTTTCACAAAACATTTGCATCTAAAACCTAAAACGACAACTATATATTATGAAACAAAATTTTAACTCTAAAACGACAAGTAAAACGAAACGGAGGGAGTATAAAAGAAAAAAAATATGTAGTAGAAACTACCTAAATCACCATTAATGAGATTTAAAACTAAAAATCTATAACCAAGAAAACAATTTTAAAACGATTATTTAAAAATCGCTTAAAATAATTTAATTAAAATTTTATATAAATTTTTTATTTATTTATATTAAAATATATAAATCAAGACTTAGTGTACATCACCCTTGTTATCAACGGAATGATCATTAATTAATAAGACTCAAAAGTCTTTATTTTACTAAACTATAGATATTTTAATAAAGAGTGCATATATATAGTGGCAGCTTCAGTTCTTGACTTCTTGGGGAATTCACATGCAAGCTTTGGGTCCGTTAATCGAGTATATGACAATCGGACTCCTGACTTGGCGGGAACCGTCTTTCTCCGTCCACGTGAGCCACGTGTTCCTTGTCATAAACGCCTTGTTCTTCTTCCAATTCCGCTTCGATATTCCGGTGACAGTCACCGTGAAAGTCTTGGTCTCTCCCAACTCGCTAAATGTTAGCTGTGGAGGATCCACAATGATCTCGTCAAAGTCCTTGTCACCTCGGTAGTTGATTTCTCCGAGGTAAGTGAATTCTCCGTCGTTAACGTTTGTGACCGTTCTATGGAAGACTTTTTTGAATGGGGTGTCCAGGGGCAGGGGGACTCGAGCCGTCATGGTTGGATAGTTGAGGTCGGCGTCGTGGTCTATCTCTGTCTTGGAGCAATCTATCTTGTCGCTTCCAACGTGCGATCTTAGCTTCTCGGTGTTGTAACCTAGTTTGCACATGTAATCTATGTAGTCTTGGTAATGTGTTTCATAGACCAAACCCGGGTCTCGGACTTTTGTAGCGTTTAAGTGACCTGACCCATATGCAAACTCATAGCCCTCATCCGTCATTTCCGTGGCTGCAAAGAGAAAAAGAATATTAAAATTTATATACTACAATATATAAACAGATGAATTAATCTGTCATTGGTGTTGGGGCTTACAAGTGGTCATGAGGGCAGATTTAATAGCGGATGGAGACCAACGTTTGAACGACTTGAGGTACAAGGCAAGTCCAGTGGCGTGAGGGCAAGCCATGGAAGTTCCTGACATTATGTTGAACCTGAGATGGCGGTAATCGTCGGAGGGGCGCTCTGACGAAAGTTTCACATTCTCGGGCCAACCCGCTATGATGTCTAACCCCGGAGCAGCTATATCGGGCTGAAAACAAAACTCCATATGAGAATTATAAACCAAAACTTTACTGCTGCTTTTTTTCTAGTGATCAAGTTGACGTGTAATACATGTAAAATAAAATTACCTTGAGAATGTTTGCTAAGAAACTGTCACAATTAGGACCCCTCGATGATAAGTGAGCAACAGTTGGAACCCATCCCTCTTCTCGTGGAATTTCCTCGGTCTTGTGGATTTTGGCTAAACGTTCTTTGCTGTAAGAATCAACACAAAACCAAATTCATTTTTTTAAAACTTAGTTGAGAAAACAATTAGTCTTAATTGTTCTTGTATGACCACTTAATGAATGTCGTTACCTTTGATCTTTTTTATAGTACTCCCATAGTTTACCTTGCTTTTGTTCGTCCAAAAATATAGAAGTGATAGGAAATTGTAACTTTTTCGACTCATTGAAGTCGTAAGATCTACTTCCCAATACGATTGCGCCTTTCTCTCTCTCTTTGATCGCTTTGTCCAAGAGGTTGATTTGAGCGAATTCGAAGAAAACATCTTTTCCTTCATCCTTCTCATAGTTAGACAAGATTGAGTAACCGTTGCTCCTACAATTGAGAAGCAAACATTTTCAACGATAGTAAATCCTCACTTATTGTAGAACAAAACCGTCTAAAACTATTTAGAAGTCATTTGCAAATATCATATCAAATCAAGCATATATAAACTGATGTTCTAAAAAGATTTTTTTTTTCTTTTTTTTTGTTGAGTTGAAGTCGAAATTGATTTAAAAATTTCAAAAGAAAGTTTAAGAATTTTTAATTGTGAAATCGGATCCTTTTTTTTTTCGGACAAAGATGAAATCGAATCCTATGCATATATATGCACCAATTTGCACAACAAACCCTTGGTACCGATGACTTACTCAGCGATGAGTTCACGTTTTCTTGTTGATTCAGCGGATGCTTTTTCATCCAAAAGTGGGTAGAAAGAATCTTGTGTCTCAAAGGTGTTGATCGTGTCGTACACCTGGTTTCATAACAAAGATATGTTAAACAAAGCGACAAATTAATGGGAGACTATTTGAAAGTCAATAAGTCTAACGGGAGATTGCTTGCGATTCAAGAAACCTATCTGTTTAACTTACAATAATCGGCTTATCTTCTCCTTCCAGCTCCAACTTAGTCTCTAAATATCTATCTTTCAAGCTCGCTGCAACGGTCATGACCCAAGGTGCGCCATTAGCGACAGTGTAATAATAGTTCCCATCGTTCCCGGCCGCGGCTGAAGTCAAAATTCCATTCTTAAGTGCTCTCAAGAACGCCCACGAGACTTTATCTTTTTGCAGCCTAGATATAAACCCCTGAGAATACGATATGATGTCGACCTTGTCCTCGATCGCATCATCTATTGCCTTCAAGATATTATCTTCTCGACAAACTGAATCCGCTCTACCATCTTTTCTTATTACTCTCCAACATGTTTTATAAACGGCGATCTTCGCGTTGGGAACACCGCCTCTCATCGTGCCTTCCGCTAGCCCAAAGTAGCCTGCCTTCTCTACTTTCCTGCCGGCAACAATGGAGGCTACGTGTGTGCCGTGTCCCGTCACGTCAATCACCGATTTCTCTTCAACCCACTTGTACTTTTCTTTTTTCGGGTAGTATGATCGAGCCCCAACGATTTTGCTGCAATTGTAGTTTATAATAGCAAGATTAATTCTTACACTTCCAACTTTCAAGATTTCTAACAATGTCATCTGGAGAAAACAAAATCATTTTTTTTTTTTTGGTTTTATCATAATTCATAACTAAAGGTTTGTTAATTATATAAGAGCGTGAATGATAGATTTTTGAGTTCAAACTAATCCCACGCATGATTGATACCAAAAGAAAATATAATGAAAAGGAGAAACAGTTAATAAATGTATAGTATAGTACTTGTTGCAAGTTATGTTTTCGCATTTGTTTTCCCAACCAAGAGGAGGAGGGCTATCGCTACCGAAGAGCTCAGAGTAAGGCCAAATGCCGGAATCGATGACAGCCACCACCAAATCACTCTCATTCTCGAGATTGCGCTCAGCTTTTAATGTTAGATTCATGAAGTCCCATGATCTTGTCGTTTGAAGCTTTAGGTTTCTGCTACGTGACACTTCCAATACTTCTCTCCTCCCTGCATCAAACATTGAACATGTCAATCTAGCACTAGGCTATAATTCTACATTTTTGGCTTTAATGTGTTATAATAATATTGTAATGATCATTTGTATAAAATAAATGGAAACGCAAACGTGGCGAAACAATTGTGGTCTTACTCATCAGCTTTTGCCGTTCACTTTCTGTGAGACTTGCCGAGAAACCGGTGAAGCTCTCCTTATAGCTGTAGATAAATGCATCCGCTACGGTGCTGCATTGTGTTTACATATATAGGTAATTGGTTGGTTTCGTGGGAATTTTGAACCTATATCTCATCAAAATTGATATGACTTAAAAAGAATAAGGCATAATTTAAACCTATCGTCGTCAAGAACTTCGCCGAGTAGTTCCTTGTGACCGGAACTTGACCCATATGGATGCCCTCCAACTTTTATCTGCACAAGGTATGTCTGTACCATACAAAGCAAGAAGTCATATGTTAAAATTCAAACATTAGTCCTTATATTTATCCAAAAAAAAAATATTATTCGTAATGCAATCTTTGACCTAAAATTGAAAAGCATAGTCAAGATGCACCAACGAAAATAAAAGTTTTAATCTCAAAACGGAATAGTGTCTCTCATTAGTGTTAATTGAACGAGACTTACTAATCTTAATAAACAAATATTTTCACAACAAAGGGTTTGGATAGTGTATATATAGAATAAGGTCCATTTTACTCACCTTTCGCGTGTCGTTTGCGTCCGCAAAAGAAGCAAAGAAGAAGAGTAGCAGTTGAAGAAGGAAGGTATGAAAAGCTATTGCCATCCCTCACTCACTCACTAGAACAATCTTATTTCTAATTCTTCTTTTTCTATAAGTTTGTTCTCATATACTTAAGTTTTGTTGCAGTAGATAGTAATGTGCTTAAAGTCTATTTAAAGAGAAATTTCATGAAGGAGATTGGGAGCGAAAAGGACTAAAGAAGAAGAAAATTGGAGGAGAAGATTGAAATCGAAACATTTCATCGTGCATAAGCTCAACAATCAATTTTAAAGAATCTTATTCTTTGATTATGAAGCTGCATGCTTTTTTTTTGGTGATTCTTGAGAAAGTCCATGATCAAATGTTTTTTCTGTTTTACGATAAAACTTGAGTATACGTACGGTATTGATTCAAGTGCAAATCAAGAAAAAGTGAGGGTCTACGTTGACGCACATATATATGTATAACGACTGCTTGGTTCGATGAAACTTGTAAGGTCCAATTCGCCTTTGTAGAACTTGTAAGGCACAACACAATGTGGTCAGACAAGATAATAACACTTGACACGGCACACGCCTTAAATAAGTACAATCATGTTTTAGTTGTTTATGTTAGTGTATATTTAATAATTTTTCTAAATGAACCGACACAAATTAAGGATTTTTAATTTATTTGCAAACTTACACGCTGAAAACAATGGTTAAAAACAGCCGTTTACGTCTAACGCTTGTATTTTCAATTTACAAAAATATTTTATGAAAATTAGAAATAATTATATTTCAAAAAAGTTTTTTTTCTTTTTTTGTTTGAATTTTTGAGGATAGTATGAAATGGTCACAATACTATGTAGGAAGTCTAGACGAATATGACATGGTCACAGTACTATGTAGGAAATGTTTGAGGCTAGTGTGATCAAAGTATACGTTGTCTAAGTGAGGAAATGGACTAAGAATATGAACATATTCAAAGATATGATAATGACATGATATGCGTCTAAGGAATTGGATACATGTGGTTTTGGTTCCCGTTTGCAACCAAAAAAAAAAAAAAAGTTACTTTTACGAACTTAGTTATCGCTTCCGTGTTTACTTCTCATCCACAACAAAGAGCAACATACCATTTCATTCCCTCTAATTATTATATTCTGTTCTATTTCCCGAGTCCTCCAAAAGGATCATATATCACTTCACTCACGAACATACCAAAACAAGTGGACTTTGATTTCAATAGCTTCTCACATTCTTCTTTTACTTAACATGAGCATGTGTGAAACTTGTTCTTGTGTAATTTGGATGCTCATTCGATTTTTATGATGGTAATCGAAGATGTCCATATGTGTTACTTATGTCCAATCACTTTTACATGCCCCTTAAGAGACAAAGCTCATCTCACTAAACTTTTTGTTATAAAACATTTCATTTGGTGTCCTAAAATCCAAGAAACGACCATATGCATGTACACACCAACTATGTGATCTCAACAGGCAGATGAAAATCATGTAAAACCCATAAAATGAAGATAGAAAAAAATACGCAGAAAGTGAATTTGGGGAAGAAAGAGATTAGAAGACTACGGACTTGCTCCTTTCCAATCAGTACACACTTCAAAGCCAAATGTTCAATGGTTTGGTTTCAACCAATTTCTCGAGCAAGATCAAATCCATCTGCGAAAGAAGGAACAGTCAAAATGACTCATTTAAGTAATAAGTTTAGCCCGGAAGAATCCATTAGAAATCATGTTTAACAGAAATGTGAACTTGAACATATCAGTGCATGAGAATCCTTTTATTCACTTGTTTCGTTTTGGTTTTCACCAAGGACAGACTACTGACTAACCTCAATGAAAGGATCAAATCTTTGTGGACATCATGAATTTGGTCTTCTTCTCCGCGGGCTTCAAAATCTGAAACGAGCACATAAGGTTCTCGTCCACGCTCATCATCGCACCAGCATTATCAAATTCACCACAGTAGTTCGGAGCTGAAAACACCGTCACAAGTTGTCTATCAGCAAAGAACTCATAACCATCCTCCACGACCTGCCATAAGAAATTCAACCCCCTTGTTAACATCACAAAAGCAGTAGTATCAAAGATACATGATCGAAAAATATCTACCTGATGGGCACGGCACACAAGGTCTAAATCATGTTTTGTAAGAAACTCAGAAACTTTATCAGGACCAAAGGTGTATGAAACACCTCTATCATTCATTCCCCATCCTTTAACATCTTTCCCAGGATCAGACCAGAGCAAATCACAGAGAAGCCCGGTATCCGGAATCATAGTAGGACGAGGCAAGTTTCTAATCTCATCCAAATGGTCAAGATCCGGCGAAAGTCCACCGTGCATACACAATATTTTGTCATCTATAAGCGCCGCAACAGGAAGGCAATTAAAACAGTCAGTGAAAACCTTCCATACCCTCACATTGAACCTCCTTTTACATTCATCATAAAACCCGTAAATCCGATTGATAGAAGCACATTCGTGGTTTCCCCTTAGTAGAAAAAAGTTCCCAGGGTATTTGATCTTGTAAGCTAGTAAGAGACATATTGTTTCAAGACTCTGTTTGCCTCGGTCCACATAGTCCCCCAGAAAAAGATAATTGGCACTAGGAGGGAAGCCACCGTACTCGAATAGCCTCAGCAAATCACTATATTGCCCATGTATGTCACCTGGTTTAAAACATTCACACCACAAATCATAAGGTAAATCACAGAACGGGATAGGATTTTTCATGAACCCACACAGTTTCATAGCAACAAGATAAACTCATATCCACTCAATCATTATCTACAAAAAGCCAAAACATTTCTCACTCAGATTCTAGTCACTTCACAACATCACTCAAAAGAAACAATAAGAACCCTAAAATCAATTCGGAGGAAATTAACATCAACGAATCAAATTGGGAACATACCACAGATTTTGATGGGAGCCTCAAGCTCAAGCAAATTGGGTTGCTGAAGAAAAATATCTCTAGCTGTAGTACAGAGCTGTTTGATCTCAGCTTCCGAGAGCTGGACTTGCTTTCCTGGTCTAGCTAACCGGACCTCCGTGAGTCGCCTGATTATATCATCGAGAACCGCCGTGTCCATCGCCGTTTGCTGCCCCTGCGTCGTCGTCGCCATTAACAGAACCAAACAAAAAAAAACCCTAATTTTTTTCGACCCCAAAAAACGAAAAGAGCAAATGCAAAACAATCAGTGAAAAACAAAATTAAAGAAGAAATTACGCGCAAAGACTTTCGAGTATTTTTTTTTTATATATAATTCGAATTGATTTTTAATTGAAGAAAAAAAATGAAAGTAAAGTATCGGAAAATGGAGATGGAGACGAATTTTACACCTAAAAGAAAAAATTAAGTGATAAGTAAATTTGGATAATGGGAATAGTTCGTGACGACGTCGTTCTTAGAGTCCTTAAAACGGGCTTTAGCTTAATGGATAATGGGCCGTTAATTAGTACAATATTAAAAAAATACAAATTCGACCTAACAAGAACTTAGATAAAATCTGCGTAGTACATCATACATTCCAAAATAATAACATTATTTTGGTAGTTTGGTAATAAAGGTGGGCTTAACTCACACCTAAAACTCATGAAAATGATATGGACTGGGTCGGAATGACTCGTACGTTGAGGCCTGAAAGAGCCCATCAATGCAAGAGAAATAGTCGTCTCTTTTATTTGCTTTCCGATCATAAAGTTGTTTCTTTGGGTGAATATATATATATCGTAAAGGTTGGATTCATTCTTTCCAACTCAATTCCACGTTTCTCATCTCAAGTCTTTTTACACCAAAACTCTTTACAGACACAAAGTTGACGATTTATAACAACTTGGATAAGATGTCTCATGGATGAGATACGAAAGTAAATTCTTGGATGTTACGTGATTAAAGACAAATGCGGTGGATCTTGTATTTTTTGCATTATTGGCTACTCAAGCTCAGCCAAATTCTTCGATATATATATATATATACTTTATATTGTCACAAGAATTGTATCATAATAAAAAATGTTTAAACAAATGTCTTCTAGTTCAATAAGATTGATAATTCAATAAGTCATTTTTAACGTGAATTAAACTCTTGTTGAACTAGAAGACAACATTTCAAGTTATAAGATTACTGGTGAATATAATGATGTAATTAATAGGAAAATAACGCAAATAGTTAAAATAGTTAACATTCTCTTCTTCTGATGGAAAATAATCAAACATCATGGGGGTATAGATACTTAAGATAAAATATATAACTTGATAAGAAAAAAAGAAAAGCCAAGCATTCTTTTAAATAAATGAGAATTCCCAAAAATAAGCAGCCTTAATAAAAATAAGTTATGGATCGTCCACTCCATACAGAGATCGACTTTAGCAAGTTGATAAAGAAATGGTCAGATCTCAAGGTGGAAACTGTTGCTGAAAAAAGCTAGATTTGATCTGATGCTGTCTTTAACCCAAAATATTAATTTGATCCCCAAAAAAATGTAGATTAATCGAAAGAAATAACTTTAAAATGACAACAGGTTGGGCTTTTGTTCTGTAAAAATTGAGGTGTCTGATTCCACTTTGAAGCCTCTTTCACCTTTGCTGCGTCATCACCAGTGACGACTTGCCTATAGATTGATGCCTCAAATTATAATTATTATTATTAATTGGTCCGTCGTTTGTAATGTCAAAAATGCTCAATTGACATTATAAAATTGCCTTTGGTAACGTTGCAAAAGCGCATCTTTATCGTGTAATAGAGTTACGACCTTTGTGATAAGCCAGTATAGCGTAAAACTTGTGATATAATTAGTGCTTATGGATTCATGTGTCGAATATTTGAAACTTAAAAAAGATAATAAAATGCTATGTTTTCAATATATATATGTACACTAATATTCCATATAACAACTTTAATGTCTATCCATAAATCTAGCTTTGTACTATATACCATGCTATTTAATGTTTTTTTATATATATAAATATTTTATGATTTCAATTAAGTAAGTTGTGTTCGATTTTTATACTCAAATAGCAATTTATATAATAAATAAATATTATATACATATATAGATGATGAGATGATACAACTTTTAGCAAAAGATATGACCAAACAAAGATTAAAGGGAAAAATGAATGTTGAAGAAGAAGAGG